CCTTTTGTTGTGAAAGCTGCGCAGAGGGGTAGTAGTGCCTCTGTTCCTCGGAACAGGATCCAATTCACCACAACTTCACCTTAAATTCATTGGACTTTTCCGGCCCGCTCAGTCGCCACAATTGTTGGTCCGCACCTGGAAGAAATGAGTGGCGGAATTATAAGGGAAACGCAAAGTTAACAAATAAGTTCGGGAAATGAAGATGAAAATAAAAAGGATTTGTTAAGAGACATACTAAGGCGGCGTGCTTTACTAGAAAAATACAAATTAACAGAAAAATATACTTAAACTTTTCTTGCGCTGATATTGCTCCCTAGCGCAAAATATCAATCTGAGTAAATCTCAGCAAAAAGGAAAACCTATTCTGAGGTTAGAATACTGCATAAGGTAGCAAACGTGGGCTGATTAGGACACGTTTTAACCGCTAATTACGCTGAAATTAAAAACAATGCCATAAGTGCAACAGTTTGCGAGTTATTTGCAATTGAATGATGGTCTACGAATAAGGCTATTACTCTTTTTCGCTTAAAATGGCTTACTGCATTGCAAGCAGATAGCCGAAGAAAGAAAAGAAAATGTAAAAGTAGCGAAGGGGTTTATGTTCTAAATAGGCCTAGCTATCCAGGAAAGTTCTAATTAGCCCGTAATACCCTGCAACAAGTAGGGACTGGGTAGGTGGCCGTAAAGTACACTTTGCAGGCCTACACGGCAAATATATGCAAATAAGGCACAAGTTTGCGCGAAAACGCTAGAAATCCAGTAAAGAATATTATGTCCACATGAGAATTCAGGAGAGCTTATTATTAACCCGCGATTAGAAGTCCACAGAATATCATTTTCGGTGGATACTGAGCCACATAAGCAACCAGGAATGTAGAGTTTAGTATTTTTAAGCCACTAAGTGTTTCCAAAGCTTACATCCTGGCCCCAAGATCCAGGTCTACCTAAGGAACACAGGAGACCTTTCGGATCAGCTTACACATTTTGGCCTGGAAAATACACATTTCTAATCTAAACATCGCAAAGTTTATCCCTTAGATCTGATTTTCTATATTCATGAGGCTGTCTTTAACATTCGTGAGCTAGAGGAGCCTGTCACGAATACTAGAGAAATGAGCATGGGAAAATTTAGTAAAATTTAGGAAATTGCTTTGGGGAGTGAAATCCATTTTGGTCTGCGTTGGTGGGGCATTACCAATTCCACTGCTGGGGATTGAGCTTGCTCAAACGTGAGGGATTGTTATGCCTTATGTGTTGCTACACACTATTGTGCAGCTCTTTGCTTACTTTTGAGCTATTTCTCTCCAATTTTATGTTTCGAAGCAAGTGCAAGCGATGTTCATCCAGGTGGCAATGTTTACTAGTACTGTACCGTCAAACCGGCTATTTCTTTTGTTTTTTCCTGGCAAGAGCTATCTTAGCACCCAAAGCAAAGTGTGCTAAGATAAATCAGTAGCAAAATAGTAACAAAAACTAGTGGGAGCTGGTAGTTTACCCGCCAGTACCTATAACACATGGTAGGCTTTGGAGCCAGCTAAAATATAAATAACACACGGGCGGCCGAGATAAAAAAAAGTTGTGGTGAAAAATTTCTTGTATCCAGCCAGCCAGTGTGACAGGGGCCTGTAGTGTACCGGAAAACAAGCTCTTTCAGTATTTTGTAACATTGGATTTTACGGTTGTTTTATCCTTCGAAACGTCCGCTTGTTTTACTGACTGCGCAGCCTTCGACACAAACCGTGTTGGTGAGTACCTCGCTGCACTTTTTTCCCTCTGTCTGATTAGCTTCCTATTCTTGTAGCCTGCACAATAAACGTTGGTTTCAGTCGCCTCCGACTTTTATACTGTCGTATTTGACGCGTCTTACGTGTTACTGCTTACCGACAAGTATCCCAGGCTCCGTCCAACAATTGGTGATTCCCTGTCAGGAACACACCGCCCGCCATTTTGCATTTTCATTCTTGTGAGCTCGTTCTAGGGATTTTGTGATTCATTACTTGTGATCAAATCGGTTTCTCACCTATCACCTTTTCATCTGCTTTTCGCAATGGATTACCTAGAGGATAAGCCGTCTACATGCGCGGTTAACGCTGTTCCTCCTGTCATTGTCAATTCTGTTGCGTTAGGCCGTCCCCTTTTTGGGAGAATGATCCTTTATTATGGTTTTTGCACCTAGGATCCTTATTTTGTATTCGTAGGATTGCTTCTGATTTCGCCACGTATAATCAGCTAACATCTTGACTTCCTGAGAGTATATCCTCGCACGTGAGAGACATCATACTTTACCCCCTCTAATAAGGAAATACGAGACTCTTAAACAGGTTATTATTCAGAGAATCACGCCTTCTGTCAAGGTCCGTCTGCAGCAACTATTTAGTGACTTGCAGATGGGAGATGGGATGCTCTCAACCTTGTTGCGCTAAATGCAACAGCTCATCGGTACGTCCAACTTGGATGTAGGGATTCTCCGCGAGCTGTGGATGCAATGCCTTCCTGCATACACTCAGGCTATCCTTGCAGTAGCAAGTGACTCGCCCATCACAGCAATTGCAGATGTGGCAGACCGCGTCATCAAACGGCACCAGCCAGAGACTGGTACCAAAGCACCTAAGCAGGTTTGTGCTGGTGCGACTTGCCCGCCGCCGGCAATAGACGCATTATCATTGCAGATAGCGTCGCTTCAGCGCCAAATCGAGGAACTCACTTTAAACCGTAAGCACCGCAACCGCTCTGGATCATCGCGCCGTTGCATAAAACCTGATGCCGCAGGTTACTGCTTCTACCACTTGCGTTTCGGTAATAAAACCTGTAAGTGCGTGGAGCCGTGAAGCTACTCCGCTAAAGATGATCCGCCACGCCGGGCTGTACTGGCCACGAACGTCGGCAAAGCCCAGAGTCGTCTCATCTACGTTAAGGATTATGACTCCGATACCCAGTTCTTAGTTGATACCGGGGCGGAAGTCAGCGTCACCCCCCTATGCCAGGTGAGCTTACAACTTCTCTGTAGACAAACCTCAGTGCCGCCAATGGCACGCCAATAGCCACGTACGGTCATCGGTCGCTTACCCTGGACCTAGGTCTTCGGCGCACGTTCCGCTGGGTATTCACTGTCGCTGCAGTCCCCTTTGACATCATCGGCATTGACTTTCGCAGGCATTTAGACTTCCTGGTCGATGCAAAACGCCAGATGATAGCCGACATTGCAACAAAACTCAGCGTACGTGGCATCACCGCCGATGTCTCATCTATATCCTCGGGCTATGCATTTCCTCAGACCTCGTCAGGCTACGCTAATCTCTTTTCTCAGTATCCCAAGCTCGTTCAGCCAATGAAAGCAGCTTTGCCCGTGGTAGCTTAAGTCACGCACCACATGCGGATAAGTGACCCACCTGTGTCATGCCGACCACGCCGACTATCGCCCGAGAAAGTAAAGGTAGCTAGGGCGGAGTTTTTGAGCACATGCTTGAAATTGGAATAATCCGCCCTTCCGACAGCCCTTGGTCCTCGCCCCTGAAGATGGTCCCTAAGAAACCTGGTGACTGGCGCCCTTGCGGTGATTACCGCGCACTCAATCGCCTAACCGTCCCAGTTAGGTATCCCATCCCACACATGCAGGACCTTACCGCATGCCTCACAGGTAAGACGATCTTCAGCAAGATCGATCTGGTTCGTGCCTATCACCAGATACCTGTGGAAGACAATGACATTCCTAAAACAGCCGTCATCACTCCTTTCGGTTTGTTTGAATTTTTAAGAATGCCATTTGGACTGTGCAACGCCCAACAAACCTTCCAACGCTTCATCCACGATGTCACTCGTGGCCTTGCCTTCGCCTATTCCTACCTCGATGATATTTTAGCAGCCAGTTCATCGGAACAAGAGCACTTCGAGCATCTTCGAACTCTCTTCCAGCGCTTGAAACAACACGGTGTCACCGTCAACCCGACTAAGTGCGGACTCGATAAAGCAACTTTAGGAATCCTAGGCCACCTCGTTTCATCGTCTGGTATCGAAGTCCTTCCTGATAAGATCCAGGCAATCAAGGACTTCCCAGCTCCGGCTTCGTTCAAGCACCTCCGTCGATCTTGTGGTTTGGTCAACTACTATCGACGTTTCATTCCGCGCTGCGCTCAGCTCATGCAGCCACTGACTGACTTACTCAGAGGAAATGAACGTAAGTTCGCTTTCCCTGACACAGCACAGGCAGTCTTCGCCGAGCTCAAGGATGCCATCTCTAACATAGCCCTCCTCGCTCATTCGGAATCGACTGCACATCTTTCTATTACGACTGATGCCTCAGACGTCGCGGTAGGAGCCGTCCTCCAGCAACACGTTGGTGGGCAATGGCAACCCCTTGGGTTCTTCTCTACGCGCCTGCAGCCAGCGGAATGCCGCTACAGCACGTTTGGCAGAGAGCTGCTCGTCATTTACCTAGCGATACGTCACTTCCGGTACACACTGAAAGGCCGCGCTTTGACGGTCTACACTGACCACAAGCCCCTTATCTTTGCCTTCAACTCGGCTCGCGACAACCACTCACCACGGGAAACAAGACACCTAGACTTTGTCACGCAGTTCACTGCTGACATACGTCATGTCTCAGGTGTCGACAATCCCGTCGCCGACGCTCCCTCACGCGTCAACCTCACTCTGCAATCTTTGCCTACCGTCGACTTTGCCGCCATGGCACCGGCTCAGGCTCAAGAGGAAGATATACAGCGCACTCTGCAGTCCACTTCGCTGCATGTGCAACCTGTTCTTCTCCAAACCACGGAAGGAACCATTCTCTGTGACACTTCCACAGGTTGTCCTAGACCCCTCGTGCCAGTCTCCTTCAGACGCACAGTCTTTGACGCACTGCACTCACTATCACATCCCGGTATTCGTGCATCTTTGAAACTGGTCACCGAATGTTTCGTTTGGCCACGCGTAAACAAAGATGTTCGTACCTGGGCTCGCGACTGCCTTCAATGCCAGCGCTCCAAAGTACATAGTCACACCCGCAGTCCTCTTGGTTCATGTCCTGCTCCGGATTTTCGGTTCTCGCATGTACACTTAGACCTGGTAGGTCCGTTGCCTCCTTCACGCGGATTCGTATACATTCTTACATGTGTCGACCGCTTCACCAGACAGCCAGAAGCCATACCCGTAACCGATTGCACAGTTGTGACTGTTAACCGGGCTTTCCTGGACCGGTGTGTCTCGCAGTACAGATGCCCATCCACCATCACAACTGACCGAGGAACGCCTTTCGAATCTTCACCATTCGATACGTTCTGCAACTTTTTAGGCTGTCGCTGCACTCATACCACAGCGTATCACCCAGCAGCCAACGGGTTAGTTGAACGCTTCCATAGACAGCTAAAAGCCTTGCACTGCGCCTCCTCCGACCCTAGCTGGAGCGAAAACGTTTCGCTCGTACTCTTAGGCATTCGCAGCAGCATCAAAACTGACTTGCAATGTGAACCAGAAGAGCTGGTGTACGGCACGACGCGCAAGTTACCAGGAGAATTTGTTTCACCTCCCGCATCGTCGGGTATGCCTCCGTCTAACTTTGCGCCCTCCCTAGCTCAATGTATGCGTTCACTACGCCAGACCCCGCCCCGTGAACAGACTAGAGATGTGCAAATGCACAGCGGACTCTCTACCTGCACTCACGTCGTCCTCCGCACCGACGCAGTGCGGCGCCCTCTCCAGCCTCCCTACACTGGCCCTTTCAGAGTTCTGCAACGGACTCCGAAACATTTTACTTTAGACCAGAATGGTCAGCGAACAACGGTGTCCATCGAGCGCCTCAAAGTGGCTTTCTTTGACGAGCCACTCGCAGCCCATTCTGATGCTCACACACAAGCACCCGCACCTGTGGTGACTTCCCGAGCACCGGATAGCCCGGAACCCTCCGAACCCCTTGATGTGGAACCTATCACGCCGAAACCCCAGGCAACCGATCAACGCGGTAGACAGGTAAAACGTCCGGTCCGTTTTTCAGATTTTGTAAACGTTTGCTATTTCCAGTAACACGCCATTTTCGTCTTTGGCGGTTATCGTGCGTCTTGTTCACAAACGTTTTGCAAAACCGACAAAAAACCCAAAACATTTTGAATACCTAAAAAGCGTATTTGCTTTTTTCATTCATGTCATGTTCCTTCTCCGGCACCAAGCCACTTCCCCGACCCTTGCCCAACCCCTATGAGTTCTACGTTTTAAAACAGCAACCGCTGGAACTGCCCAGGCAACCCTCGAGTGACTTGCCAACCGGCTCAACGCAACCCTGGGGTGACCCGCCAGTCGTCCAAAGCCCCATTCCTCAACCAAGGAACAGATAGTCGCCTTCGACCGCAGCCACCCATGAACGGACTGGTTTTCAAACGCCGCTTAGGCGTTGCCGACGAAGACGCCGGATTTCTTCGTGGGACGAGGACCGTGGACTAACGTGTCATGGGGAAGTGACACCTCCCAAACGCACCGTCGGGTCTGCAGCAAAGGAAAGGTCCTGTCAGCTTTTCTCTGGACTAGCCAGTTTTTTCTGCAGTCCGATCAACTAGCCCCTACGGCCCACCGATGATGCACTCTGGTCCACACGATCGTCATAAATCATAACTAACAAAAGCCTGGACCCAGCGAACTCTGCTACACACCTCACCTTGGAAGCCCTTACTCATGCCCATGCAAAATTTGCAGCCACCTTCAACTTCCGTTTCCCCCACTAACAGATCCATCGAAGGCTTCCATCCTTCAGCCTTCCAGGTGGAGACCCTTGTAGTGTACCGGAAAACAAGCTCTTTCAGTATTTTGTAACATTGGATTTTACGGTTGTTTTAACCTTCGAAACGTCCACTTGTTTTACTGACTGCACGTCCGTTGACACAAACCGTTTTGGTGAGTACCTCGCTGCACGTTTCTCGCTCTGTCTGATTAGCTTCCTATTCTTGTAGCCTGCACAATATACGTTGGGTTCAGTCGCCTCCGACTTCTATACTGTCGTATTTGACACGTCTTACGTGTCATTGCTTACCGACTAGTGTCCCAGGCTCCGCCCAACAGGCCACTGTGTCGTCGGTTAGTTTTCGTGCTAGTGAAATGGAATCTGAAAATGTGTGTGTTTTGCTAGCAAAAGCAGTTAAAGAAGAGGATCTGATTTTCATTATGCCTGTCTAAATGTGTTGCAAATAGTGAAAGGCATATGTATACCAGGTAAAGTTAACGATGTGGGGCCAAGAGAGGAAAAGTGGAGAGCAAAATGCCTGATTCTTGGGCCTAGAACTTTTAAAGGGCTCTCTTTGTCAACGATATGAAAGATATAAATCTTATTTTTCTGTTTACATACTGATAGGGGTTGAAAACGGCGAAGTACAGTAGCTAGTGTTCAGGCTTAATGAAAAAGCATCAATAAGGGCCAGCTAGCAACCGACATTTACGAAGGCACATAAAGGTTCATCGAAAGCCGGCATTTAGACGGTTTTGGACAATTCCAGTGCTAAGGTTAGGTGTGTCAGCAGCAACAAACGCTTTCAACATCTAATGCAAGGCTTAGGTCTGATAAGTTGCCTTTACTAGGAGTACCTCAAAGGCCATAAGTCTAATATTTTTCCACGTACCCAGTGGGCAAGAAGTTGGATAGTGAAAAATGTAAAGCTGAAGACAAGGAATGAAGATGTAGAAAAGATGAAAGGATTAAAATTTGGCTCCACGATGTCTTCTTTATTGCCCTTAAATACCGTATATTAGGAATAACTACGGGTTTGCAAGCCTGTCAGTCAGTAGCCTAGGCTGTACTGTTTGTTGAAATTTTTAAACATTGACGAAGTGACCATAGAAAGAGAGAAACCGGAGATATGTGGATCCCATTTGGTCCATACAGCCTTTGGATCAACTTGCTAGTGAGAGGGTCGAAGCAAATCAGGAAATAATCGGTAATGGCTGAGTACCACTTGCATTCAGAATTCTAATGTTAGCACCTCACGATGCGTGCGACTGATCCCACTGAGCACTTCTGGGTCTTGTGATTGCGCTAATGAATAAGGTAAAAGAACGAGGGTCACTGACGGAGACAATTCATGAGCGTAAGCCCTTATTATCCCTTACGGGATGCTTATGTGGTGGTGTCTACTTTTTCCATAGTGTAGACATAAGGCGGAATTGTCCGTAGGAGAACTCAAGTAGGTAAGGAAGAGATCCTTGAAGACTAAAATCATCTTGTATTCAGTTCGCTATTCCTAAACCCTAGAAATTTTGTGCGACGGATACCGCTAAAGTCTCTTAGGTGATAAGACGGTAACGACAATGAATGTGGATGAGTTGTGAGCTCAACGTGCTTAGATGTCACTACATCGTGGGCGTCCTCAAGCTACATCAGGACCAGTTTCGAAGAAGTGGTATTGCGCATCGCAAATATGGAACATGCTTTGTATATTGTCAATCCCTAGGAATCTCTGGATCTCCTTCCTGAATACCTGCAAGTTTTGGCTTTTTCTTATTCTGGAAGGCAACCTGTTTCATATGTTTACGTACACAACTAAGAAGAAACGAGATCGATGTATCTTCTTTGCTATTAGAGAAGTAATGAAATGGCCTTGTTTCGGAGTTTAGATTCAGAGGCGCTCCTTAGTTTAAGACAATTGATATTACTCTGCAGCTTTCTATGAATTAGCTTATGTAAGAAGCACAGGTTAAGGATAATGCGCCTTTGCCTTAGGGGCTGAATTTTGTGGCTTTGCACCTTTGTCGGTAACTCAGCGCTTGGTGCGATGGAGTCAATGTCCTCTTAAAGCGTCGCTTAGTTTTTTCAAGCAGAACACGGTCGACTTCCGCAGGTTGCTGCATGTAAAGGAGCAATATTCCAGATGTGGGCTGATGTGACTCTTATAAAGTTCTAGCCTTCCAACTGCGGTTTTTATGTAACGGCGTATTTAAAAGAAAATCCCCTTACCCTTGCCACCTGATAATGAATTGTTCTGTAAATTTGAGGCTCATGGAGTTGCAAAAGCTTAGGTCTGTTGTCATGGCACACTGTTTGATAGTGAAGCCGTTTATTGTTAGGGACCCAGCAGGTATAGAAAAGTTACGGGTCATGACGTTAGATTTTTGGGCGGTGAAGGTCATTTGCCAGTGTTCGCACAACATTTTAAGTGCTTTAATATCCTGACAGATAATATTAATTGCGGATAATTCATTACCAGTGGGAAAGATGTAGACAACGTTTACGTCGTCAGCAAAGATAAAGGAGCGACCGTGTTGCAAACTCTTAGAGGTCACTGATATAAATCAAAAATGGGGTTGGACCAAGGACGCTCCCCTGCACCAAGCCACTGCGGACGGCGGTCGGGGTGCATATAGTTTGCTTAACCATAACAGACTGTATACGTCCTATTAGATATGAACCCAGCTAATCTAAAGGAAAACTGTCTACCCCGTAAGCCTTTACCATATGCATCAGGCGCATGTGCGGTACCCTGTCAAACGCCTTTTGAGTATCAAGGTAAAGAATGACCACTGAAAGCTTACGGTCAATGGCTTTGATGACTAAATTAATGAAATCCAGCTGACCGATTTCACAAGACCGCGACCTTAGAAACCAGTGCTGAGATTCATTTATGTGCTCAGCTGCATAAGTGTGAGTCATCAGGGCTTTTAGCAGCTTCTCCATCACGGGCGAGATAATAGAAGTGTGGTTAATAAGTCGCTAGTTTCCAACTTCCTGTAGGCTTCCGCCCCCATGCCTTTGCGTAATGATGGAATGTTTCCAAGCGGTCGGGCATCGACCATTTTGCATTGATAACGTAAAGAGTTTCAAAAGAAGCATAGGGATATCTTCGCCACCATTCTTAAGTAGACTGGGCGGCATTCCGTCTGGACCAGGGTTCCAGGATGACTTGATAGTTAAAATCGCAGAACGGACACTATTTATGTCAAACTGTACAGAGGACAGGGACTAGCTACCGGGTACTTTCAGGGCCTGAAAGGTTGAACCTATTTCTAAATACTGCCATTCGTTAAAATGCGTGCTGAAGACTTCACATAATATTCTTACCTCACTAGAAGTGTCGTTGGGTCTAACCTTTAAGGTAGATATCTGTCGTACATAGTTAGGGTTCTGAGTGTGCGGCAGCCAGCTGCGATTCTTAGCTTTGTTCGCACTATTTAGTGCGGCTATTTCTTGGTTGGTTTTTTGCTGCTTGGTTCCGACCGAAAGCTGATGTACAGCCTCGTTCGCTTTCATGTTATGGGC